TTTAGGGGTCAAAACATTTTTAAAGAGATATAATTTTAAGATGTTGGTTTTAAAAATCCATAATTAGATGTGGGACAAACACTTTGTATATCAAATCCATGCGTGGTAGAGGATTTTTTTTAATTGAAGACCATTCTGTGTCCTGCAACATAATTTTCTCTTATATAAAAAAACACTTACAAATATGTAATTATTAATATTCTATGGTATGCAATAAAAAATTCTTACATTTTTCCGATCTCGCCACTATTGTGGATCCATGAGTATTCTTCCTGTACCAGGTTCAATGGAAACACCAGTACGTCGAACAAGCCTTTTATATACCACGTACAAGGCTCTAAAGTCATCGTATTTACTCTTACATTTATCCCAATCAATTATAAATCTTGTTTGCTCACAAATCTTTTTGATAATATTTTTTTTGCCGTCTCTTTGTGGCAATGTCGAAGAATAGTTTATTTTCTTGCACTTCTTCTTCTAATAATTCAATGAATAGAAAATTTAACATTGGCGACCATCTAGAAAATTCCTACAATTTATATTTCATAACTCGCAATAATTAAATATATTTATGTAGTATAGTTCTTGTATAGCTAAACTTTTGAAATATAAATTTACCATATTATTTTCGTTTGATGTTCCACCATCCGAATCTCCCGCACTGCTCATTGTTGTAACTCTGCTAAACAACAATTAAAAAATATATTAGTTATATGTAATTTTTTAAAACAATCAAAAATATTTACACACTATATACATATTTAATAATGCATAAATTCAAATATAAATACTTATGTTCAATTCTTAAGAAAAAACGATTATGTATAGTTTTTAGAAATTTATTTAAAAATAATCAATTATTTTATATAAATGCAACTAATTTTTTTAAAAAAATTGATAACTAAAATTTGTAATCATAAATAATTATAACAATATTCCTGATTTTCAATTTAAAGGTTTTAAAAAAATACTTAATAAAATATATAACTCAATTAAGTTATGTTATTTGTGGAATAAATATTGTAGTATGAAAAACATTCTTATAAATATTAAATGATGATATATGTAAACGTTATACGAATTATACAAAATAATGTAAACTTACTTGATTATTCTCTATGCTTTGATAAGTTAGAAAATAGTGAATTTTTTTTTTCGAATAACAAAAAGCCTCTCAATTTTTTTTCTCTTCACCAGAATATGAATAAGCTTGTTTCATTGAATGAGAATTTATAGTCAAATCTTGATATATCCGTGACTTTCTTTTAAACTGTGTAACTTGTCTTTTTGTTATTCACGTGAAGAAAAACAATAATTCATTTTCAATTATGTAACTTTTGTTAAACAAGTGTGTCTAAAAAAACACAAATAAATCATCTTTATTTTTTTCTTTTTCTTATTCTCCAACTGGTCTTCATTTTCTTCGAATTATGTTGGTACCATTTGATGCATGAGTATCTCAAACAACACTAAAATATTAGGAGAGTATTTAAGAAATCAAGAAATCTATTTGAAAGTCTCTCAAATGAGAGATCCGAGACTTCGACTTTTGAAAAATTTATATAATATTTTAATGTTATTTATATTTTAATATTTTTTGAGATATCCATTAAAAAAGCATGAATGGAGATGCTCTAAGACCATCCACATTGGAGATAAAATGTGGATGTCTCTAAATAAAAAAAATATTAAAAACACATTTTCTCTTCTTTTTACTCGACTTTATACCTTCTCTTTCATCATTTTACTCAACTTTTATTAATTTTATATTTAAACACACTCCAACTTTCATCCATTCTCTCTCCAACTTTGTCTTCCCCGAGACATCCTCTCCAATAATACCCACTATCTCATCTCTTTACTCAAATTTTATTAATTTTATATTTCAATACATCCCATTATTTCAACCAAAAACACTCTCTTTATTCCTTTTACTCAACTTTTAATAATTTTATATTTAAAGACACATACAAAATGTCTCCAATGCAGATGTTCTAACAGATTTTGATAACATCCACTATCTTTACATCAATATATCTCTACCTATATAGAATTTGGTAAGTTCACACTTAGCTTGTAAAACATTAAAAATCAATATAATTGGAAAAAGTTATATAAAAAATATTGGAACAATATACATAAATCGGACGTAGAAAAGAGCATCACGGTCATGATCGTGACCATTATAAGATTGTCCATGAGTTTGATTCGGTTTCTAAATTTGGAGTGTTAATACACCGACGGTTTTTTTTTTAATCATACAATCACTACGTTTTACGGACTCAAAAGATGATTAATAGCTGAATATTCAGTTACAATTATAAGTTTATAACTTATGAGAGATTGTCCGGTGGTCTATTACAGAAATAAAGCGAGTTCAGTATTAGCCCATGAAAAGCCCGCCCGATTCAGGACCAAAATAATTTGGGTTGGTTCAAGCTCACTTTCATTATTTTTCCATTTGACGTTTATTTTTCCTCGCTTTATGATTCTCTTTCTAACTTTTCTAGAAGGGTTTTTTCGTGAATAATCAAACAAAAAAAAATTAAAAAGTTAGGGAAATGGGGGTATATGATAAATTGTAGGCCATTAAATTTAGAGTTTTTTGTTAGTTTGCAAATTATAATTTTTTTTGTTGTATTTTTGGCAAATTTTCCCTTTTTAGAAACTCCAGTTTTATTTTTCATGTACTATGTGCTACGATTTGAATTCTAAAAATAAACACAAATAACTCAAATTTCAATTTATGGTTAAACCCTACAGTTTCTACCGATTTGCCGCGTTATAGAATGCTTCTTTCCATGTTCATACTATTGACGTTCGTTTTTTAATACAAAAATATCATCTTCTTTCACAAATCACTGTTACAGATGGTCTTTATATATCATGATATTAATTATTTTTGCTATTGGTTGAAGAATCTAAATTCCAAAATGATCATCTGTCGCATTTGCGCATAATCTTTTTTTTTTTAAAAAGAAATTTGCGCATAATCTAGAATTTGAAATTAGAATTAGGTAGGTTTTTTTAAAATGTTTTGATCAGCCATTGGAGCAAAACACTATGGTTAATATCCTCTACATATTAATAGAAGAGACACTAGATGAAAATCCTAGGTATCATCTAAAGAGAGTTTTAAAGAACTTTTAATGAAAGCTATTAAAACTTTATTAATGACATGAACTATTATGTAAATAATTCGAAGAGCTAAACTATATTTTAGCCCAATTACCCACTAAATTTATATCACCGATACAAATATATTATTATTAAATGAATATCAAAGCAAATAATATGTGATAATTAATATGGAAAATTTTATTTAAAGAATATAAAATATATGTGAGAACATCTTACTTTCTTTTCAATGACTACTAGATTTTTTGACATGCGTTAAACACGAGATTAGAATATTCAAAAATAAAACTTCATGTTTTTTCAATATGAAAAACATATTTTTTTTTGTTACACTGACAAATTTATTTGATTTATCGCATATTCTATAATTTACACAAATAATAAAAATTAATTTTACACTTCAAATAAATTGAAATAAATAACATTTACATTACTTTTAATATTCTTATGCAAAATTGATCAAAACATATGACATTAAAATATGTTTGGTCAAAATTTAATTTTATTACATTTATGCACAATACATAGCATTTTGTAAGTTTATAAATATTATAATATACGTCTAAATATTAAGATCAATTAGAAAATATAATTAAGTATTTAATTCCAGCGTGGGTCAAAATCTAGTTTTTCTTAAATAACAAGAAAATATAATATCGTATAAACCACTCCTTCGCGGTTTAATATCATTAGCACCAAGTCAAATTCAGCAGTTTCTTACTTTTTATAGGTCTTTGATTGGTCCGTGTGTGTTTGACCTCAAAAGAATGCTTTCCTTAGAACTTTCTATTTTTAGTAAACTCTTCATCCGTCTCGCTTCTCAACTAAATATACTAAACAAAAAATGTTACAAACGACACAAAAATCAAAGCCTCTCCTCCTACTTTTTCTCATCATCGAATAATTCGATCAAACAAGAAAAGAAAAAACAAAACAATCTAATAGGTACAAAATAGAATTATAAGATCATCTCCGACGATTCTTCAATCAATTATCGGTGCCGGAGAAAGAAAAAAACTATGAAAAATAGCAGTCCTAGTCCTAGCGAGGATTCAACAAAATGGATGTTAGAGAGTGTAGAAATCGATTCAATGGGCGATGGTTCGTCCAAAGAACCCGCCACTAACCCCAACAAGAACGAAGGTGGTCTCAAGAAGAACGCATCAAGAAATCTTGGAGTGGGATCGATAATCCGCACGCTGAGCGTTTCGAACTGGAGAAAGAGTGGGAATCTCGGGTCTCCGAGCACAAGGAAAAGCGGGAACCTGGGGCCTCCGATCTCGCCGGTCCCAAAGAAGGTTGGTCCACAAAGAGTGGAAAGGACAACATCTAGTGCCGCTAGGGGACTCCAGAGCTTAAGGTTCCTTGATCGTACGGTCACGGGACGGGAACGAGATGCATGGAGATCGATTGAGAACCGATTTAATCAATTTTCTGTTGATGGAAAGTTGCCTAAAGAGAAGTTTGGTGTCTGCATTGGTAATTAACAAAGATTGATATCTATAGCGAAAACATAAATCTTTATCGTGTTTTTTTTGGTTAAACAATAGTTCTTTTTGAAATGTGAATCCAAATACACTAACTAACGACGTAAAAAAAATTACTTTCAATTTTTGTTTTTGTTTGGAAAGAAACTTTAACGTCGATAGTATATATTGTTAGGAATGGGAGATACAATGGAGTTTGCGGCAGAAGTTTATGAGGCATTAAGTCGGAGAAGACAAATAGAGACAGAAAACGGTATCGACAAAGAACAACTCAAGCTGTTTTGGGAAGACATGATCAAGAAAGACCTCGATTGTCGTCTCCAAATCTTCTTTGACATGTAATTACTTCATATTATACGTTTTCATCACATCATACATATATCTAATCCAAATGCAGTTAGTTTAACCATTATGGTTGTGGTTAATTAGGTGTGACAAGGACGGAGATGGTAAGCTCACGGAAGAGGAAGTGAAAGAGGTCATAGTCTTAAGCGCGGCAGCGAACCGCCTCGGGAATCTTAAAAAGAATGCTGCAGCTTATGCTTCTTTGATAATGGAAGAACTCGATCCCGATCACAAAGGATACATAGAGGTTCAATTT